TTGATCTTGTCTACCCCTGGTGAGTGTATATGTATATGTGTGTGTGTGTGTGTGTGTGTATAAAATGAATGCTGATTTAGCATTTCCATTGTTTTCCTAGTTTTTTTTTTTCAAAGCTAAAGTAAGTTTACGTAATTTTAGTTTTTAGCCACAAACGAACTAAATGTTGTTTTGTAACAATGTAGTTTAACACGTTCCACATGTATTATAAAATATTCACATTCACATTAAACAAAGCAAGAAACTAAGAAATGTCTTTGCTTGCAGGTAAAGGGACAATCAGGCAATCTCAATAAAGACTTTTATTCTTTTATTTGTACCAAAATAGGCAGTTAGAGCAGGGATAAATATTATATTATATTAGATATAGATCCATCTCTGTAATAGATTCTTTGCATCAGTGCTTTACTCTAACAGACAGTGGCTAAAAACACACAGCCAGAGTCATACAGAGAGTTTAATTCTGTCAAACAATGAATGCAAATCATTTAGTGGAGTGGGTGAGGGGGCTAAAGATGAAAATAATGATAATAATAATAAAAAATATAAATGATTTGTAGAGGAAACATTAAAGCATTTAAACGTGGTCAAATTTCCAAACAAGAGCTGACAGAAAAGCTTTTCTGTACGTCTCTGACCTCCAGTCAGTGTGGAGGAGTTGCCTCGGGGCTGAAGGTGGGACTGTGGGGGTGGGTGGGTCCATACAGGGGGCCGTGTCATCAAAAGCATCTTGCATGTTACATTTTCTCACAGGTTACCACCAGGATCATTTCAGTTCGGACCTCAGCACAGGCGTGGAGTTAGGAGCTGTTTTCAACACGAGCCTTTCCCAAAGTTGTTGCATTTCAGTGAAAACATGAGAAAAACACAATGATAATGAATCTTTAGATGGTAAATATGTCAAATAAAACAGAGAGGCTGCTGAGGTCCCACACAGGCTGATTTCAGGAGTCTTTCATGTGCACAAACTAAAGGTTCAAACTTATTAAAAACCTTTGGTTAAAAATAAAATAATAAAGTAAAACACCCAAAACTTTCACCAGTGGACTGTGATGTATTTTATACTTTATATTCACAAAAATAAAAAGAAGAAGAAGAAAATAAATTAAGAAAAGCGACTCCTTACAGTCACTATGAGTTTAAATCAGCTTCTGTCACACAAGATGCCTTCAGGAACCCGGCCCTCATCAGTGCAACTTCAGTACGAAGGAAAGCTGTAAAACTGATGCTGATGCTGATGATAGCATTGATTAAGGAGGTGATACATCTGTTTGATGTCAGAAAGTTCAACTAATGTCACACTGGATGAGATGTGATGAGGAGGAGGAGGCCAGAGAAAAGAGGAAGAAATGACAGAGAAGGGAGGAAGACTTGGACAGAAAACACCCATGGTTCTTTTTTTCTGAAACAGACTGAATTTTATCACACTGCAGAAAAATATTTTATACGATGGATTATTAAAGCCACAGAACGCCATTATTGTTTTTATTTATGAGAATTAAGTTATAATATTACAAAAATTAAATTATGAGAATAATGTCATAATCTTACATGATGTTTTGTTCCTGGGTCGACTCCGACCTGCTGTGGACAGCCTCTAAACGTGTTACTGTTTATAAAGTAGTCTGATTACTTTTAGGTCACTGTTGGTGCAATAAGTTTCCATTTAAATGATGTGACGACTAAATCCATCACTGCAACCATTAACAGCGATGCCACACAGCTTCAGTTTATCATATAAATTCAATTAGTCATTTGCACAATTCTTTTAAAGTCCTGCTACTGATGATAATTTGACGCAGTTAAATTTGTAAAACTGATACCAAAGTGTAACTTCACAAGATGCTCAACATTTAACAATTTAATGCAGTTCTTGTAATATTGACTTTATTCTCATAATATTATGATTTTATTCTCATAATATTATGATTTTATTGTCATTATGACTTTAATCTGGGAATACTATGACTTTATTCTTGTAATATTACGGCTTTAATCTAGTTTCGACTTTAATTTTGTAATTAAAAACTAAATAAATAAAAAATATCTTGTAGTGTGGCCCTAATTCTTCATTATAATCAACAAAAAAACAAAAACATAAAACCTTCATTTTGACTTCTTTCTAAAAACAAAAAAAATTTATTGTTCGTTTGGCTTTAAGTGTGTTTGTTTATGAGTAACAAGTCGGAGTAAGCTGTTAGAGGTATTTCCTTACATTTTCTTTTTGTTAAAGAAACAAATAAATGATGTTTTTACTTTTGATTAATTCTTTTCTTTGCAATGTCTTGTTGAATAATAAAGTGTATCTTAGGTGAATTAAGAAGTCAACTCCAGGTCTGAGCATTTCCAACATGGAAATGTAACATACTGGTGTTTCTAATAATCAGGATTCAATAAGAAGCAAACATCATTGCTGTTTAGGAGTATTAAAATCTTACATGTGCGGCTATAGGATTAAAATATTTGCAGAATATAGCAGCCAGAGTAACAGTTGTGTCAAACGGAAATGATTATAATCGAAAAGAATCCAAATATCTTAAGCTATATTTAAATTTAGCATTTCACTCCTGGCTGCAGGTATTGGGAGTCGCACACCTCATTCATTAAAAACAAACAAAAATCTCTGAATAGTCTTCATCGTTAGAATCATTGCCTATGGCCTGCAAATATTATTTATAACTCTATTTTTCCTGAATATAAATGGAGTAGTTTTCCTGCTACATCAAAGAACAGTAGCTGCCCGATACTTTGGCCCTCTGTGACAAGAATGCTGGGGAACAACAAAACTACAATATTTATTTTCACATATTATTTAAAAGTTGTGAATGAGAAGAGGAAACAAGGGAATGAAGAAATGAGGGGGAAAAAAACATTAAACATAAAGGATGTCATGAGAAAAGAGAGAAAGAAAGACAGACGGGGAATAAGTTTTAAGATTTTTGTCCGAAAAACATGCTCTTAAAGCTACAGCGTGCAAATGTCTGCCTCTTGGTGACAATATTATCAGTACAAACCCATACATGAATGCATTACCCTTTGTTAATATGAAAACAACAACAACAATAATAACAACAATGAAATAAATCAGATAATGGTACATGTTGCCTTGATTTGAACCAACTCCTTAAACATTAAGGAACTGAGCTGCAGGAAGATCCACCAATAGGCTGCTGGACAGACATAAGCCCCGCCCACTTCAGGGAGGAGCAGTCCCAGATAGTCCCAGCCTCGCCAACTTCATGTGCTTGTGTGAACGAGCGTGTGTGTGTGTGTGTGTGTGTGTGTGTGTGTGTGTGTGTGTGTGTGGTGATGTAAAAGAGAGGAAGCAGGCTGATAGTAGAAAAAAGAAAGAATCAAGTGGAAAGTGTTGTGAGAGAGACGTGTTTATGATGTTTATGAATGTAAGATCTCTGCGTTTGTTCAGAGTCGCTCCTTGGTGGGGACCCAGATGTAAGGACCAGACTGCTCCTCAATGATCTGCTTCACCTGCGAGTGAATTTCCTCAAGAGATGAGCCCTGGACAATAGCTGCAAAACATACAAATATAAAAAACATAATCACTGGTCTGCAGTTTAGAGTCCTTAGCTTGGATTTTAAGAGTCTGAGGTTTCTACATGACAACAGAAAATCTGTTTAAAGCTGAGCAAGAAAATCAACCAACAGAAACAATGATGTCATTCAAATGACACAAACACAGCTCACATGGATCTACCAGAGATGGGTTTATTTCAGGCGGCTGTTTTTGTGTGTACAGTTTTATTTCCCTGCTGTGCTCAGTATTAGTGCATGGATAGAATTCATGCGTGACGTAAATGTGTCTGATGTAAGGAGATGTTAATGTGCTTCTATTGTGAAAAGCCTGGGGAACATCTGGTGGAAATGGTTTTGTACTGGGGTTGAGTTGACGCGTGCACCGAGGCTGAGTCGTCCTGTGTGTAGTGCTGGGGGTTATACCATTTTGTAGCAAAAACTGTTTTTTATTTTTGTTATGATATGAATTTTCTGAATACCGGACATACCGGTTTAAATATCCTGAACACGCTGGGAACGTTTCGTCGCAGCCGCCAGTGAACTGTTTCCCGAGGGACACATTTCCTCGCAGGACCGCTATGTGTATTAGCATGCTAATGTTATTGTTGGAGCAGCTTGTTGGAGTAACTGGCAGCGGGTGGTGTTTCAGCTGCTTGTATTTTAAAAAAACATCCCGTTTTCACCATCGCTGAATGTAGTAAACAACTCTTCAGTGACATGCAGTTAGATTTAACGTGCGACGTTATAATGGAGACTTTAACGTGCTTCTGTTGTGAAAAGCCCGAGGGAAGTAGTTTTGTAGTAGAGCTGTAAGGTGAGTTGTCCTTTTAAGTTTTATTAACACACAACAATAGACCCGATAATGATCTTTTCTCAACCCTTCACGATCGGACCAAAATGCCTGATTACTATCTACAACCAGGCAAAGAAGAAAAGACGTACAACAGGAGGGAAACAGCCACACAGACAGAGGTACAGTAAAAGAAAAGTCACTAAGCAACATTTGCACATTTTATTATCAGCTGAGCTGTGATGGGAGAAAAAATACTGTCAAATACTGTGAAACCGGTGTAATTGTTGAAAATACTGTGATATAAAATTTGGGTCATACCACCCAGCTCTACCTGTGTGTACTTGTTTTTTTTTTACCTATTTAGGTCCGTTTCCGGTACGCACACCTAACTTGTCAAGACCAGTAGTCCTAATGGGGACCAAAGGCTGGTCCTAATATGGTGGAACTCCATTTTTGGGTTGGGTTTAGGACTAAGGTGTAAATTAAGTTTGGGTTAGTTTTAGGGTCAGGTTGGTACCTGTGAGGTTAGCCTTAGTCAGGGTTAGTCTGTAGAAATTACTGGAAATGAATGGAAGTCAATGAACGGTCCTAATAAGGATAAAAATGCAAACCTGTGTGAGTGTGTGTAGTGTCATGTATTGAAGCTGACTAACCGGTGAAGTATTCTGCAAACTCCTGCTCCAGTTTGACAGCTCTGTCGAAAGTCTTTCTCGCCTGTTCCTCAGTCAAACGCTTGATCATCTCTCTGCAGAAATTAGAAACAAGAGATCAGCTAAAAACAATCCAAAGACGAGTGACTGTGGGACATAGTAATTCTATATAATTTATTTCACATTTCATCAGTCGTATACAGCACTTTAAAGTTTTTATAAGAGGACGTGATAAAACACTGTTCCTATGCAGGAAATACTACGTAGAGCTCAGTTATTGTTTGGTAGCAGTGCTCAGCTGCAGCAATGAGACGAGGAATGTGATGTTTCCTGTTTAGACAAACATGAAACCTAAAGTTAACTGGAGAAATTGCATTTCCTGTGAAAATGCTGGTGTGAATCCTTCATGCTGAAAACTTAAACTGAAAGCTGCTGAAATTGAGCTGAAAATATTTAATGGTAAAAGTGTTAATGTGAGCACACTTTGAAAAGCTGAAAGAAACAAAAAAGACTTTGCAGAAAAATAGTAAAAAGGCGCACATATCCAGTTGAAAACAGAAAACAGCTAAAAGCTAAGAGCTAAAATAGCTAAATATAGCTGAAAACATCTGCAAGAAGCATAAATAGCACTAGGTAGCAGAAAAAGGCATAAAAAGTAAAATAAAGCAAAAGAATAGCAGAAAGAAGCAGATCTATAGCTAAAGTAGCATAAGTAAGCTAAAATTAGCATAGAACATCCTAAAGGTAGCAGCCACAAGTTGAAATTAGCACCTAGATAAAGAAAGTGTTGTAAAAACTGTAAAACTAGCAGAAGAATTGCATGTGAGTACAAAAAAAGGGATAATTAGTAGTAAAATGGCTAAAACAGCTGAAATTTTCAGTAAAACAGCTAAAAAGTAGCTTGAATTTAAATTAGCATAAAGAAGCATAAGGAGCACAAGTTTGCTGAAGTTTCAGAAAAAGTTTTAATAGCTACAAAAAATGTGTATTTAGCTTAGAAAAGCTAACTTTAGCTAATTGCAGCTAAACCTTAGCTAAAATTTCAGCAAAGAGCTGAATATAGCAGAAAGCATCTGTAAGAAGCATAAACAGCAAAAATCAGCAGGAAAAAAGGCACAAAAAGTACAAAAAGGCAGAAGAATAGCAGAAAGAATCAGAATTTTAGCTGAAATAGCAAAAAAACATAGCTAAAATTAGCACAAGAATGTGAAAAAGAGCAGAACCAGAACAAAATGTGTAAGGTTCTGTAAAGATTTAGAAACATTTTAAAGGAGTTTAAGGATGTTGAAAACAGCTCCATTCATTTTCAAAGGCTAAAAAGTGGCTAAAAACAGTGAAATAGCTAAAAAAGTGTAAAAGGTTGAAATACCAAAAGTCATAGTACCCCTGACATGAATGAGCTGAACGTTTTCATATATATGAATCGTTGAAATAGCACAAAAATTGTAGAAAAAGTTAGATGCCGAAAAACGTACGGAAGGAAAAATGATCTTATTTGTGTGAATGCTATGAAGCGTTCACACAATTAAAACTGGCTCTTTGAGGGCCACCATAACTGTCATGTGGCCCTCTGTGAAAATGAGTCTGACCCCCCTGTTCTAAGTGGTGAGGCCATAAATGTGTTTTTAAATTAGACTGCGTTAACATTTTACCACTTACAGGATGTTGTCGACACTATGCGGTCTGATGAGGATAGCTATGGGATGAAGTCCTGCCATCTGGAGACGCTTTATGGCATTCCCAGACACGTCCAGTATGCAGTGTTTACCCTGTGAGAAACAGAGCGGGTCAGATCGTTCATCATGAACCATCTTTGCCGTGTTTGTCCTTTCTCGTCTGGTCGCCCGCGGCCTTACCTTGTCAGCAACTTCTTTGACAGACTGTATGCTGGTTCCGTACAGATGGTTGTTGTACTGTCCTGCCTCGATGAACTTGTGTTCCTGAATTTCTCTCTCCATGAGCTCTCTGGAGGGCATGAAGTGGTAATCTCTGCCGTCCACCTCGTAGTCTCGCCGCGGCCGTGTCGTGTCTGCAGAAACAGATTTAGTCAAACTCGCGCACAACTTAAAATACGCTTTTTGCACGAAACTTTTAGGTGGTGTGAAGGAAAAACACGACACTGCTTTGACTTAAACAGCTGCTCGTGAGATTTATTGTTAAGTAAAGAAACTCACGCGGGACGCAGGAGCCAAACTTGTCTGGGAACTCAGAGATGAGGTCATCGTTGACCCGGTCTTTCATTGGTCCAAGCACGATGACCGGCCGTGTGTAGTTAACTGAGAGCAGATGGACAGAAGCGCGCTGGTTTTTGTATGAAGGCATTCAGAATGCAATGCTGGTAAAGTTAGGAACTGGGTACAAACCTTCCTGCTGCATAACAGGTTGGTACGTGAGGAAGACCTCCTCCTGGCCGGCTGTTCAGACAAACAGAAACGAAGGAAACGATTAGAGCTGCGGACGCCCCCGTCACTCCTTTAATGCATTTTGAATTGATTTTGGAGCAGACTTCTTCAACAGCAAAAAGCAACAACTTGCACATCTTGCATGCCTATTATCACGGCACACAAAAACACATGTGCACAAAACACCGACAAGCATACACACAAACACACACACACAAACACAGAGGAAGACAAACAAAATAAAGGAAGTAGAGTGAGCTGCATGAGAGGAAAGTAAAAGGCAAAAACAGACAGGGTCTACACTTACAGGAACTACTCTCATTATCACTGGTGCCAGAGGTTACCAGCTCTGGAAGGACAAGACAGGTCAGAAAGGACAACACACACACACATACACATATACACGAACACAATCTGTCTCACTCCCGTACATTTTAACAAACTCAAAACTGAAATAATTACAGGCTGTGTCCAAATTCAGGGGCTGCGTCCTCCAAAGGCTGAATTTGTTGACCGCTTACGTCACAGCACCATGCCGGAGGCTGTCCAAAGGTGAACAGTCCTTACCTCAGTGTATGTCTTGTTGAAGGGGACAGGACACCGGGGTAAGGGCAGGAATAAAGCAGAAGACTAGACCAGGGGTGGGCAATCCTGGTCCTCGAGGGTCGCAGCCCAGCAGGTTTTATGATTTTCCTGCTCCAACACACCTGATTCAGACATTG